AAAAAAATTATCTATTAATTTCCACGAGACAAAATCAAAAGCTTTTTCAAAATCTATCATAAGCAACATACCCGGCTTATTATTTTCTTCTGCGTATTGCATTATATCATATATTAGTCTAGTGTTTTCTCATATGTAACGATCTGCTAAAAACCCAGTTTGATCTGTGTTGATAAGTTTTTGTATTACTGTTTTAATCCTACCTGCTATTGTTCCTGAAGTTATTTTGTACACTATATTTAAGAGAGAAATAGGACGCCAGTTTTTTATAAAGTGTCTAGGTTTATTATCTTTTGGAATGTATGTAATAATACCCTGTCTTTGAACAACTGAAAGTTGCCCAATTTCATAACCATAATTTATCGATCTAACTACAAAAGTGCCAAGATTTTTCCAAAAACATTTAAAAACTCTGCAGTAAATCCATCAGACACTGGGCTTTTATTGTGTTTCATATTTTGCAAACTTAACGATGTTTCTTTAAGGGAAATACAACTTTCTAAACTCTCAGACTCTAATATATTCAATTTTGGAACTTCAACATTTTACAAAAATCTTCTAAATTAATATCTTCTATGTATCAAGCTTTTCATAGAATAATTTAACTTCATCAAGAATTTCATCCTGCTTTGTTATAACCTATCCTTCATCTTTTTCTATTTTATTTTTCTATTTTTGAAGTGAAATTTCTGTTTTCTAAGTTAATAAAGTACTGTGTAGGCTTTTTTCCCTGTTCTAACCATTTTGCCCTTGATCTGACAATACTACCCTTTATTTTATGTAACTTAATATTTTCTAAATCTTCCTTTTTCTCACTAATTTCCTCTATATCTACATTTTCTCTGTCTTCTAACTGTTGAATTAATTCTCTGAGTACTTTTTCTCTATGATCTTGTTGTTTTTTCTTGTAAGAGGTATAAGCTATGGTTTCACCTTTGATTTCCATTAGAAGGGTTTCTAGAAAAAGTTGATCACTTATTGTAAATTGAATTGACTTATCAGCAATATTTGGCAAACTAACAGGATTATAAACAGGTAGAGAAAATTGTGATTTAATTCTTATAATAGTTTTATTTATAACATCAAGATAGTCTTTTTTCAGATAAAAGAGTTATTGAACTTCCATAACCCTTTCCCCTTTTAAATTCACTAAACTGTATAGAAATCTTTGGAGATGAATGGTCCGACCTATACCATGCATCTATACTAAAAAACAATCTAATCGTGCTTGCTTTAAAGGATTTTTTTGTCTCCATGTATATCTTCTTGTGTCATGATGTTGATCTCTATAAACGTCAACTTAATCAAATGTGTCAATATAAGTTCCAAAACTTAATTTCTCGGATTGTTTATCTGTCTATAGTTCTGATCATAGTATAATTCTGGATTAAGTACCAAGTTGAAATCCCCACATATTATTACAGAATCATTTTTAAAATAAATTAAAGCCTCGATAATTTTTTTCGAAAAATCCCGGAGAATCTGAGTTAGGACTATATATTACAATGAGAGATACTCTTGATCGTTCTTTATCTAAATCTAGTCCCAAAAAATTGCCTGTTAAATATTTTTTCTCTTTATATATTTTGAATTCAAAATTATTGTTGAACATAATAGAAACCCTCCGGGAATTTGACATATAGGAGTTAAAATGACAGTTAAAATCCCATTAATTTCTTATCTTTTCTTCCTTTTCTAACGTGAAATGGGTGTCTTGTAGACAATACAGATTATAAGATTTACTCCTAAGATATTTAAAAGCTTCTTTCCTTTTAATGTCATTACCCAACCCGAAAGAATGGTAATACATTCAACCATATTGAAAATTCATAATCACAGTGCAGTAATGCAGTCGACAGTAAGAGGATAGGAGAAAACGATTATAGATAGAAAGAAGAGCTCTAGAAGTAGAAGGTTGTTTAAGAATGTTAAAATCATATAGTTTGTGGTCAAAACATGTTGACTACTACTAACTCAAGCAGACAGGAAGCACATTCGAACACCGGAAGTTGTACACTAATAAAGACCCTACTCTGCGTGGCCGTATTCCGGAATCAACTGGAACTCTTCTGTATCATAAGTCACATTACAGCTAAACATAAAAATATTATGCTCAATTCTCGTAGTATTTTAATTTACAAACAACTTCTTTTTTGCATGGCAAACTTGTCTGTCCAGAGATGTATGTACATGATGTGGTTTGCTTTACTCAAAAGGAAGTCATCTCTCGAATGAAATAGAAAATGTATATACATATGAGACTCAATTTCAGTTGTCCGATTTACAAACCCCTTAATAGAATATACAAGGAGCGCATGCGTAAGAAGAGATCGCGGTTTGTTTACATCACACCTCAGCTCGATTTTTTGTATTTCATTCTTGTATCCCAATATTTTTCACTCCAAACTAAGGTCATATTAAGATAATCATCAAACTTTGTATGCACTTTCGGTTACGAAATACCCGCGTAATACGACCTCGTCAGGTGGTACAAATTTTATTGTATTTCCTTATTAAGTGACTTTGGTTCGCACAAAAGACGAAGAATATAACCATCATTATCACTAACCATTTGTATGTCAGTCAGTGTTGTCCTCACCTGTCATACTCGAGTACGTACCATTTGCAAAGGGTCCTATTCTCGTCATATTACTACGCCTGGTAAAACACAAAAGCAGTCAAAATGTCTGGACGGTCGACAAAAGCCAACAGACCCACGAGCACCTGCTCATACATCCAGACCACTGAATTACTTAAACATGCACCATATCACTACATAAAATCATAAATGGCCTTGTGGCATATGATGGCAACCTCCAAATTCTCCAGCGAACCCGACAACACAAATTCTAGATTCCACACAGCTCCACAAATTATCATGCAAAGTCATTCTTTCCTAGAGCAATTCGTACCTGGAACAGCCTCCCAATCTTCATCGCCGACAGTGCTGACCTCTACACACTGAAGGCAAATATCCTCTCTCACAAATCCCAAGAGTACATGTTGTTTTTATCATATAGTTCTAAAAAAACAAAATAAAAATACTTGTTTTTAACCGATCTTTCTGACGCATCTAAATAATGTTCAGTATATTGAACATTTTTGAGTACCATGTTGAAGTTGAAGTTGAAGAAACGTGTCGAAAATATCTTCCTGCGGGTCATCTCAAGATTAAATTAATGTTTAATAACCATAAGGAGGCTCAAGTGTTTTTTTGTATTGAACATTGAACAATATATCATCGGTTTATACTCTGAAACCATGTATTTGTTAATAATGTCTACGATTTGACATCGTCATATTCACTTATTTGTGTGACAAGAAAAAACTCCTATACGTCACCATGACCAATATTGATATACCTAAAGTAAATAATAAAATATAATTGAGTATTAATTAAATAGTATGCATGACCAAGAGTAAAACATAACCATAGTTTCAGTAATAACGTCATAATTACTTTATATATTTAATAAGATTTATACCGTTTTATACTTATGTGTAACTTGGCATGGCCATGAGTATACAATTCTTACTTAATAATTGTTTATTACAGCATGAAAAAGGGGTCATCTCAAGATGGGAAAAATAATCCGGAAAACAAGTTGGTTGCTATGTTATGCTTATGTAAGGATAAACGTTAAAGAATACTTCACCAAGATAGTAACATTACTGTCATTACACATGTTTTCAAATTTCATAAAAGAAAGAAAAAAAAGACACTTGCATTAGTTACATATGGTATTGTTACATATATGAGGGGCCATCTCAATACCGACTTGATACAGTACAAGATATACTCTAGGTGGCATTATGATATATATACATTTTATATCAAACATAATAATTAGGATTTCCAGATCAAAGTAAAGAATATAACATGAGCACGACTTCATCAAAAGCGGTTTAATATAGAACATCTAAGATTGTCGTCCATTAAAAGTATACCGGCTTACCTTATGTTACGAATAATGATCAATCCTGCACTTTGTTCACATCCATACATTTATATATCCTCACTTATAAAAAAGAAAAAGAAAAACAGCACTAGAATGACCGCACAACACTATTAACACTGATCGGTCCAAAGTTCATTTCCGATCTTTACACAGTTCATAAAAGTTTAATATTTTGAAAAGTTGGCGTCGATCAGCAAATATTGTTACGTTTTCCTTTTTTGCCATTCCGCAAAATCAAATATAGTTAAACGTCAATACTGAATAAGTTTTTTCACACATTTCAGTCTGAACGCTTCCCTAAGTCTTTGCTGATTGAGTCTTGTGAGATCCTAAGAAATAGTACTACCGGAAAAATTTCAGCTTCCTCCTTTCCTTCATGATTTCCTGTTTCTTCCGCCTATGGGTCAGTTTCACCATGACATTCCATGGTTTGTCCTTGGAGAATCTCCCTAGTCTATGGGCAATGTCAATGTCTTCACTGTGTAGAGGAACTGTCAACTTTTCAGTTACGAATTTAACCACCTGCCCAACACATTCCTCCACCGACTCCTTTTCTGAGGGATCACTCATTCCAGCTATCCGTATAGGGTGTTTACGTCTGTGCTGTTCAAGGTCATTATGCTTGGATATGATGTTTTTCTGAACATAATCCAACTCCTCAATCTTCATCTCTATGTTTCCTATTGTCTGTCTCAGTAACTCATTCTCCGTTTCCAGATAATAAATCTTTCAATCAAATGTGTCTATAATCTCTCTGGTATGCTCCTTAAACTCAATTTCCGTATATCAATCTTTTCATAAAAAGGAATACACTGCTCACCATCTTAAAACGTTTGATTGAAATTCTTTCTTTGCAGTGCCGCAAAAATGTTTATTTTATATGAAAGTTGCAAAACGATTGCATAAAATATACTGATTACCAAAGAGAGAAAAAAATAAAACTGGTCGGTTTTCGTTTGATAGAAGATAGTAATTCTAAGAATGAGTCGTCTTACCGCGACCACGTCCTTAATGACGACATTGTCGTTTTTGAACTGACGTTCGCATGTTGATGTAATATCGCAACCTTTTTAGAAATAAGGATTGCCTTATGTGCATAACCCTGTTCTTCAGTGAGGTCCGGTATTGAAGTAATGATATAGACCTGGACCTGTGTTTGTTCATGTTTAGGCCCTGGTGAAATAATGACTTCCCATTTCCCCGTGCCCTTGCCCTTCAGCGACGTTTTTGAAGTGCTGATTGTGACCTTGACAATATTGTCTTTCAGCATTGAAGATGAAGGACACACACAGAGGATGTTGGCGACATTTAATGGCACACGCTCCCGGATTATTTGCTTCAACAGTCCATTCAATCCCTGAAGTCATGACAATGTTCTTGAACATCGGTAACACTTGCCACCGCTGAGCACCTAAAATAGTAGAGTGTACTGTAATCATACGTAGATTTTCAATAATAAACACTTTGTTGACGATTTCAAAATAAGAACAGGGCATCAATATTTCATATGTCTATGCTAAAAGCTAGAAATATACAATAAAAACTAGTAAATATTCGTCATTTTACATACTATATATTACCAAATGAGACTACTTCCAAAAGATAAAAAGACCATTGATATAAAGATATAAACACATATGAATACAATTCAGGTGCTATAACCGGACCCTGTTCAAACGTTATATTAGCACAATCAAAATAATTTTAATGCTTTATTGGAATTAGACAATTGTAAGAAAGAGGTTTGTTAGTTTGTTTTGACAAGTCAAATGGAAACTGTGTATACCAAGACATTCATGTTATTCTAGATTAAGGTCAAAGCATGCATGATGTAAACACTAGAAAAATAATAGTGTAGGTTTGCAAGATACCCATTTCATTAACACTTAATAAAGACCAATTGATTAGAATGAGGTAAAACATGTATGTCAACTGTATCATTCAAATCCAACAGATTGCTCGATTAATGATAGGTCTATTTTCAAGGACAGGCTACATGACGTAAATGTACTATTAACTGTTTGGTGGTGGGTAGATTTTAGGATGTCAGCTAATCCTAGGGGGAGACCTGGTAATACCCCGTGTATGTTATCGTTGGTTTTACTGTCACAAATTGAGATTTACCTGCATAAGGCAAGGACTAATCTCTCGTCTTCCATACAGTGTAAGACATCAGCCGTGACAGTTTGTTTAAGTTGTACATACATAATTAAACACTTCTTTGTAGTCATCTGTATGACCTAACTACTATTTCAGGTATCCATATATTTATGGACTTTGAACGAATTGTAGTTGTCCTCATGTGTAATGTATGCGTGTTTGTACGTGGGGTATATTGATGTATTTGTGTAGATCTGAAGCCGGCTTTACAGAGTCCATGTAGCATAGGTAGTGTAATACGATATCAGGACAAAAAATGTCTTAATTGCAATATTGTATACCCGATCATCTGATGTTTTAATATTTAGTGTACCATTTACTTGTAATTATGTAGATGTACATTTATTTAAATATACAATGTAGATTGATAATTATAATATATCACATATTAAAGGACACCATGGGATTATTAAACGGCTTGAAAGTTTTAATATGAAAATATTAATCTTTCCAATAGAGCGTTGTTATTGTGATAATCATATAAGTAGTTGTGCAATAAGTTTATATTGTTTTATTTCTGTGTCTGGTCCTCCCCCATTTACGTATCATTAATAGATATCTTTATATATCTATATAGAATGTTTTGCATATGTTTGCGAAATTATTGCAAATCTGAAACTCTCTTGACAGAAAGAAAGAAAAGGCGCCAGCTTCTGGGGCTCCTTTCGCAACACAAAAACCTGCAACCTGATCAGAGTATAAACTTACGTAGTCTTGGAAGCTTCCACTTTCCTGAAGGACCCGATCCTGTAGTGATTCCAACAAAGCGTACCTGGTAAAGATATTCGTCATCCCTCAGAGTCAGAAGGACATCCTGAAACACCACCTCACCACGACCAAGTACTACCTCCCCGTCATTTCTCCACGAAATCCAAAAGTATCGGTACTCATCACAACTAATTACACCATCTTCTGTATGGCTCACTAAACTAATACCACGCCGATTGTGTATCATTGCCCTCGTGTTTATGTATGCTCCTATGACGACTATGTACCCATTCATCAGATCGTCTTCCGACTGGAATAGGCCAATGTGTGCTCCCTCGCAGGCTTTTACCTGGAAGGTAATGAAGTTTGCCTGTGGAGAGGGGGTAAATACGTAACCATACTTGGTAAGTAGGGTGTATTGAGACCCTAATGTGGAGAGTTCCACGTCCTCACCTGTAGGAAAAATGAAGAGTTATCATAAAAACAGTTATTTTAGTATTACCAGAGATATATAAGAAATTATCAATCTTGTTTACAATAATTCCATATCTGCAGAGACGATATGGAGTATCATCCAGTTAAATCAAGGTCAGAGATAATCTTTACGATTACAAATAATAATACGAATAGAGATGCGATACAGAAAACCAAACAATTCATGACAGTTGTCTGTATAAGTCAATAATCGTACAACGAACTATGCATATTATGCTTGTATACCGACACATTCCTTGATTACTAACGTTACTTTTCAAGAAATAATGGACATATGTGCTTGTATTTTGTCGGAATATCGAATATGAAGGAGAACATGGTAAAAATATATGTATTTTACCATGTAACATAAGGGAGCTTCATGATAAAAATGTATGTAACAGATTTGCGATTATACCGGCTTGGATATTGAAAAAAAACCGTTGAATCCTTATATTTACATGATGCTTTTACATAGTTATTATTGACCTAAATACATATATTTCCTTTGATATTTAATATTGAAAAGTCTCTGTTGTCAGTGCAAACGAGATTCCTGTAACAGTCTAACGTCACCTAAATGTTTGCTTCTAAGGGTTATGCCATGTTATTCGAGGAGGGAGGAGAAACTTAAAAATGACGCTGATCCAATTGCGTTCATAGCCTGATGGACGTATTGTTTATGGTAATGCTTATAGAGGAATTTGCAGTGGAAATGTAAATATATACATATACATTTTTGTTTTCTTTTTCTTTTTCTCTCTCTTTTTTTCACCCTAGATTTTTCATAGAGTAGCGGGTTGGTAAATTGGACCTTTAATTTAATTACTTCCCTTATGCATTGTAAAAAGATCCATACACGTTACCAAGCAAGGACAAACAAAAATGTCGGCACTTGCTTAGAAACGATAGTCAGAAGAGATGGGGAAAACTTTTTTTAATTCTCAATTAACAGCTTTTTCATTTGCACTGTCAGGCCGTTGACATCTTCGTAATTTTTTTCCGTTTCATAATTATGGCACCAATGTTGATCATTTCATAATTACCAAAAACCATTTTGAAGGCATGGTCGTTGGTTTTCATACTTTGGTAACCATTGTCATTCTAATAACTCACTCATCAAAACGATATACAAATGTGATATTGATTTCCGATAGACCTAATGAAATTTTCATAGATCTGACTTATATATACCATACATCACATTGAATCAGCTTTTTTCTTGGTCATCGTCTGTTGGCCGACCGTTAAGTTTAACATTGCATAGATCGAGCGTAAATTTCCGTGCGAAATGAATGTATCAGACAGGCAGGGTGTTTCTAATGAAGGTAAATACCGTACTAGTCATCAATACGTAACATCGAAACACTTATTGGTTGTATAACAAGAATCTTTTCACAAGACAAGGAATATGTTAACTAAAGATACTCGCAAGGGTAGATTTGCGAATGAATTATTATTCGCCATTAACAGTTATGAAAAAACTACACATATCACAAATGTAAAAAAAAATAAGCAAAAGGATGTCGATTGTTCACTTAAAACTAGTTTTGATGTCAATAATTTTCAGTAGTTGATTAATGTAAAATGCAGCATGTTAGATGCGAAATTACTTTCGTTGTTGAACGCGTGGACAATGTTTAAAATTTGAATTCAAATGAGGCGACAAATACCAGGGTAAAACAAACAAACATTTTAATTGATGTCCAAATGCAAATATATCTAATGGTTGGTTGGTTGAGTAACAGTTAAAGTAGGACGCTGTTTGATGCTTTGTGTTGGCGCTCCGGAGAAACCATATGACGCCAGAGGACGGTGTATTTACAACAACTTAGATAATGTGAAGATATTGTCAATACAACAGCTGAAGTAATATGACAACAGTGCCCAAACAATAGCATCGGTAATATGACGATGCTCTCTACATAATATATAGAGTGAATTGAGAACGGTATCACACAACGGTTAAGGAAATATGACAACGCAAAATATGACTTTGCTTTCTCGACAACAGCTTCACAAATATATGATGGAGTATAATGATAATGGTTATAAACTGCATTGCATTGCAATATTTATATATATTCATACGTGAACCTTACGGTGAATTAACATAAGGGTTTCCATGTACAATCATGTTATAAAGCGATTCAAATTTCATAAAACAGGTTTACAGACAATATAAGGATAATAGATCTACTGAAATGTTAGAGCTCTCTCCGCAAAAATCAGACAGTCTCGGATAAAGGAAAACATTACATGATCCTCTCCCAGGGCGAGAGCGATATCGTTGGAAGGACAGCCAAGTATAGTGGAAATATGTTGTTCCCTTTCAGCTTGATCTAAATACACATAAACATGTACAGGACAGACGTTATATATATTTGTATAAAAGACATCTCTAAGCGAAGCTAATTCAACACTGTTGCAATCTAAGATACAATGGGCGACAGCGTCAGAGACAAGCAAAATATATTTAGCACAATGAAGTTCAGGTGGGGTAATCCATAATTTAGAAACTCGTTTACAGATCTCGGCTAAGTTTGGAGATAATTTTGATGCATGCCACAGAATGGAAGGTGAAAGTTCTGTATGAATATTCCTAAATCTGCATCAATAACAATTCAGACTCAGACGCGGTGTTCACTGTTCACTTTCTTTGCAAAGAAATTCATTTTTCACAATAAGCTTCCACATTAGTTTGCTGGATATCAAATAAAAGTAGTATTCACTTTGTGCTTTAAACGGATTCCTGGTTTTCATGTTCAAAGTTCACCAGCCCTATGCAATTAACATAATGTCCTTCATGCGTGACTGTCATGGAATACAAGCATATGAACACGTGTAGAGTATTGACACTAGCATGTTTATTTCGGGTAGCGGAGAAAAAGAAAAACTTTAGTATGGCCTGTGGACAAGGATATCTCGACCATCGGTAAAGAGTTTGGCTGAGACCTTGCGCTGGACAGCCAAACCCTTACACTCGGGCTGAGACCTTGCGCTGGACAGCCAAACCCTTACACTCGGGCTGAGAACTCCCTATCCGCTTACTGCATCTAAAATTACATTAGTCCACACAACAATTAAGATTATATGACGATGCTCAAGCCAAATAAAATGTACGCTGATATGACGATGCTCTCCACACAACAGCTGATATGACGATGCTCTCCACACAACAGCTGATATGAAGACTGTAATCGCACAACAGCTGATATGGCGATGCTCTCCACACAACAGCTGATATGACGATGCTCTCCACACAACAGCTGATATGAAGACTGTGTCCGCACAGCTATGACGCAATCAGGACGAGCCCAGACAACAACAAAGATGATTTAAGGAAGGTATCCACACAGTTCAGATAATATGTCAATGATTGTCATACACAATGTAAGTTGTTGTGAGGAAGGGGTCAATACAACAGCTAAGGTGATATGACGACGGAATCAACACATCAGCTGAAATGATTTGGCAATAGTGTATCCACAGCAATGTAGACACAATGATGTCCATAAATCCATGTTAAGCTTCCCTCATCCTGAATGTTTCAACTTTTACACGGTAGCATAATTTACATGTACATATACAGCATCCGTTCACGTAATTTTGATAACGGGTTAACGTGAGGTCACAGATAAGGAAATACCGAAACAAAATGCAAAAGAAAAAATACAAAAAATGAAGTTCATCTGCTGTAATATGTGGCGCTGATTATTTCTTCATTTTTTTTCTAAACTAATGAGAAACGATTTAAAAAGAAATGCTGATTTTTCTTGTTTGTATCAGAAGAGCAAAGGTAGTTTAAATACCATGTTTAAATGTCAAAAAAAATAATTATCGAGATAATTGGAGTATATTCATCGAGATTGGCGGCTGAAGAATTACAGAATAAATCAGGAATAAACACGCGAGATATGTAAATAGTTATAACATTATAGTGAATGTATGTTGGTCGGTGATGTTATTTTAATACATATTATACACACTCAGGCATACACACATGGGGAGATATTATTCAGGTGGCATAGGACTAGTAGCTAGCGCCTTATAAGGCAGCCCCTGCGAATTCCTCAAAATTGTATTGATGAATGCAGCATACGCTAATTGTATTAATTGTATATCTATGTACTGTAAAGCGCTTTAGAGTGACTTACGTTAGATAGATAGGGCGCTGTATCAAATGTTGTAAATTAAATAAATTATAATATCTGATCAAATATGAAAATGATAACCGCTTACCGATACATATCAGAAGCCTCACTATTTATTACTAGAAATTTAACACGTTACATTGAATGTTCAGGGATACCCAATTCGAAATTCAGTTTGAATCCATTTTTCAGCAGTTAAGGAGAAGGTTTTCATGCAAGATGGGCCAAGAACGAATAAAAGATTCGCGCGCAGCGCATTTTATTCGTAAACGATAACTTAAAACTATTTTTTACAAAAATCAAGATTTCAACCGCGCAATATAGTATCTGCATGCTTATCCTAAGTGTAACTTAATTTGGCGTGAACAAAGAAGATAAACAACTTACTTGTTAGCAACGCTTGAAAAAGGTGTTTGAACACAATAAGTTCAAACTAACTAAGTTACTTTTATAAAATAAGATATATGAGCTTACATGAGTTTCCATTTCATATGAGATTGATGAAACTTGTCTAAGATTTTACAATTTAGCGAGCCTTTGGCGAGCTAAAATGAAAAATTCGTGACGTCATATATTTGTCCTAGTCGTGACGTCACAATTGAAACAATTGAAACGTACAACTAATCACAGGGCTGATAGGTTATATTACATGGGTTAATACGCAAACAAATATGACATGGGTATATTCACTGGATAAACACAGTACATTATGTGATAAATGTTTATATTGATAACATCAGTCGGATTCTACAACTTATTGAATGTTAAAGGAATGTTTTAACACTAGTCGGTCTACAATGTTTAGCTGGTATGCTGAGCTAGCATCACCTGGAATATTGACACTCGTGTCCTGTTAGCACCTGCCGGAACCTCTTTCCGTTATGGAGGTTAATTTCCTAAAACCTTGTTTAAAGAAAAGATTATAACATGAAACATGCCTATAAAATAACATCAATACTTACAATGACATTTAGTTAGGAGCAACATCCACCAGAGAAAACAACCTATTGCTGCGTCCATCACTGCTTGCTGCTTGAAGTCGACTCCGGTAACGGTCTATCCGCAAATGATTAAAACAACTGCAATCACCTTGTCCATTTATTGAAACTCTGCATCTGAATAATTTATAACAGTTATGTAATGGTGTGTTAAATGAAGCGTGTCTGTCATGATTAATTCATGTCATTTAGTGTTGCATGAAATTGTTAGACTAAGTATGCAGTTTAACATTAAAGTTTATAGGTAGACCCACTAGTTAGAACATTGTTCAGAGCACTGTAGTGTTCGTCTGGTTATACAACGTAAGTTCTAATATTTTTAATTAGAACTCGATTATTTGTTGAGGCAAATATGTGGATGTATGAACTATTTATATAACCCTCCACATATCAACCGAAACAAAAGTTCTTGTTTGTTACATGTCAGATTCTAAATAATCTTTTATTTTACCATAACACAAAATGAAACGTTAGGAAATTGCCAAAAGGACAATTGGCAGAGAGCGGTCATTTCAATAACAAATTATTGACCTGCCGTTTCTAAAGAAATAAAACTCCTTAATTGTTATATTAAATACTTAAATATTTTAAATTGTCATGTTTTTTAACCATTACACAAGATGGAAAGTTAGAATATAGTCAGGAGACAGAGGGCAGTCATTCCATCATGCAGGAAACGGTTGACATGTTGTTTTTAAAGATCTAGATATCAACTATGGACTTTTATTGAGGTGATTTAACGAACTAACAGGAGAAAGCGATATTTACAGGGACGAAGACGCGGTTAACATCCCTTGTAACTCAGTGTATTCATACATTTGCATATTCATCAGAAATAAGTCCTTTATCGTCATATTATCATTAATCAAGATGGATCGTTAGTAAATCGTGACTAGAAAGAACTGTATTTAGAAGAGATAACTGTGACGTTACAATTAAGGGGATGTGGTCACCAATTCNAGATGGAAAGTTAGAATATAGTCAGGAGACAGAGGGCAGTCATTCCATCATGCAGGAAACGGTTGACATGTTGTTTTTAAAGATCTAGATATCAACTATGGACTTTTATTGAGGTGATTTAACGAACTAACAGGAGAAAGCGATATTTACATGGACGAAGACGCGGTTAACATCCCTTGTAACTCAGTGTATTCATACATTTGCATATTCATCAGAAATAAGTCCTTTATTGTCATATTATCATTAATCAAGATGGATCGTTAGTAAATCGTGACTAGAAATAACTGTATTTAGAAGAGATAACTGTGACGTTACAATTAAGGGGATGTGGTCACCAATTCTTTGTGGAACTTTTCTCAGCAGCGCTTACAATAAGTAAACGAGAAGGTCAAGAAAATACTGTTAATATATTATTTATTATTAAATGTTTTAATTTCACCGAAATCAACACGAGGAGGCATATAGTATTATTTCACACGCTGTGTTACCTTTTCGGTATTTCGTTTCCTATCTGTCATGTCTTCTTTCTTTTTCTATCTACTTTCTGTTTCAGGCGGTGTCTGCCTAGGTACCCGTCCTTATATGACCCTGGCTGTTTGTAGGACGATAAACAACAAACAAAACAATCTCGGGAGTACCATTGTAATTTAGTTTGATTTTCACTAAACGCAGTAATGTCTAATCCAAAAAGGTCGTTAAGACCTGCAGTGCTGTGTTTCAGGAGATTCTTTTTTGTTTATTTGGAGGAATAACAAGTCCATTGAAATAGAAAATCTAACATAAGAACATTGAATGAACAGAGTCGGAATCCCATTTTATACAACAATGACAATCAATGGAAGATGTCTGTTCTATTCATTTAAAAAACATACACGTGTTCCGGTTTTACGTAGAAAATAACAACTGGACTCTAACATGTGCTCCTTCTTTTAATCATTTTCTCCTCTTTCAAATTTGCCTCCTCTCAAGAAGAGTTACAATAAACACACACAACACATACTTTGGAGTTACTTCCACTTACACAGTATCTAGTGTGCACATTATGTATAGCATATACATAACATCCGCCCACAAAACAAAATCTTGCAATCAAAATTTTAAGGAGTAATATGAAGAACGGATTAATTGGAAAATCAACACATCGAACTAGTCAAATAAAGACTTCTATCGTCATACAATACAATTAAAGTATAAAATGACTAGTAGCAAACCAAACTGATCATTGAGAGACAAGGGAGACAATCCTATGAAATTGTATAAAGATCCTTAAATTTGGTCTCAAGAGCTTAAAATTTCACAATTCATGATAGAATAGGAAAGAAACTTTGTTATACAATGTTATGAATGTATTAATTGAGCTTATATGTTAGCCTAATTGAGCAAGCAATACTCCTCAATATAACCCATGGTTTATCAAGTACTAAGTATCTTATTCATTACTAATGTGGTACAAGATCATGAGCCATTGATTACTACATGTATTACCATTCATACTTCTCAAACAACCAAATTCATATTACAAAATAACTGGATTTGTATGCATACAGCATGAAATCATACATTCTCTATACAGCCTGGAGACATCAATGACAAATTCTGGGCCAATTCCTTTTAAAGGAATAGTTTGCACAAGAATATTTCATATTGTCAAACTATCAAATTGCAAATTATTAAAGTGAAAAAATTACTATCAAAAAACAAAAATATCAAATATGCCAAAAATGCAATCATTTACCAATGATATCTGATTTATTATATTTAGCATACCAAAGTTATAAACAAAAATACAACAATATAATAGAAATTGCTCAGAACAATATGAAACAACATTCAAAGTTACAAATCTCATTCTCAGAATACACAAAGTTATTCCATTCTCAAGCTAGTATATCCAGAATACAAGAATAAAGTTTCATTACAGTAAAAATAAATCATTCAATTCCAAAAAAAACCTATTAGACCTACTCATATCTACCTGTACAAACAACTGCTAACTCTTTTTTCTTTCTTAAATAGAGGTCAAGTTGAAAGAAAAAAATTATGTATATAATTATATTATTACTGCAACCATTAGAAACAGAACACATCACATTTGATAACCCTGTAGTGATAATTACTCACAATAGAATATTTCAACAAGTAAATCAATATGAAAAGTCTATATATTTGACAACACCTGGAATTTCACCACAGTGTGTCTGGATATTCAACAAAAACCAATGAATCATCAATGCAAAGTAGGTGGTGGATTTTGTTTCACAACCCTTTGAACCTTCACATTTAAATCAGAAAAGGGTAACCACATAGCGTTTTGTGTAGGCTCCCCAGCAAAATGGACTAAATATTCAGTCTTTCCATCCTTTTTCCTCTGTCCTATCACTTTTTTGACTTTGTAATAGACGTCTGTGCTGCTCGAGCTTTCCGGGGAGAAATTCACCGTATTGTCATCACTGCTATATCTTTGAGGTTTGGGTGCATTCCTACGAGGTCTTGCCAAGGGAGGCAACTCTGGCAGTTTGCGTCGATGTTCATGTTGCAAAGTTGCTGCCTCGGATAGCTGAAGACTGTCCTCAGATGAGACTTCTGGTAATGATGGAGATGTGCTGTTTGACACCAATGCACCAGGCCCAATATCTGAAGTCTGTGTTGCCACATGAGGTTTCTGTTCACTAGTGACTACTTTGCCAAGAAAGTAAGGAAGAGGGTGCGGTTCTCGGACAAAGGCCATATTAAGTCTATCAACATGTACGAGAGTATCCAGTTCCGTTTCAGAATGTGGCTGACGAAGTTTCACTGTATGAGCTGAACACAGTCTGTGAACAACAAAAGGACTGTCATATTTGTCCTGTAATTTCTTTTCAGGACCAGAAGGTTCGCGGAGACGATATACATAATCTCCTGGCTGAAGACGCAACTGTTTTACCCCTTTGTTTATACGATCCAACATGGATGTCTTTGATTTATCAACTTTTTCCCTCATAGTTTCACGGATGTTGTCCAAACGTCCCAAAAAGTGTTCCAAATAAGTCGTAATGTCGTCGGGCACTGTAGCAAGTTCAATCCGTGAAGGTGCCAATGGAAACCGAGGTCTGGTGCCAAATANTTCAATCCGTGAAGGTGCCAATGGAAACCGAGTTCTGGTGCCAAATACTATTTCAAAAGGAGAGTAACCAATGCTCGCATTCGCTGAAGAGTTCATAGCACAGAGAGTACCTGCTACATATTCATCCCACGTACGATTGTCCCTATGGATCAATGTCGAAATGCGCTCGGCTAACGAGGCATGTGTCCTCTCGCAAGCGCCCAGACAGTGATGTGCGTAAGGTGGGGTGAAATCCTGATGTAAGCCCAAAAGCTTACAAACCATCTGTGTCACTTGCTCAGTAAACTCTGTCCCATTCTCCGTTATGAGAGACTCACATACACCATACAGTGTAAACATGTTGTATAAAGCTGTAGCTACTGATAGTGCGTCTTTTCTACCAGAAACTTGCTATACATAACCAATACAGAAAAAATGTAAGAATTGCCTTTGTTACTAATCGGCAAGGGTCTAAACAGATCAGCTTCCCACACTTGAAATGGGGCATGAGGAGAAGGAAAAGCCGAAATGCTGTTGTTAGTCCGACGTTGTGCGAGTTTTCGTCGCTGACATTCCTCACCTGACCGCACATAGTTTGGAATGATAGTGTGCATTTGCTTGAAGAAATAATGTTCCTTCACCTTATCCAAGGTATCTTGGATACCTCCGTGACAAGCAAGTGACTAGTCGTGGTATAGATTAGTCTTTTGTAACACCTCTGGAACGACCAGTTGATACGCTTGAAGCTGTTTAGCACGCCGCGACTTCGGTATTCGTGAATGAAGCAAGACATTGTTCACTTTAATATATTCACTAGACTCCAACAATATCTGGCGAGATAATTTCTGAGATGACGGAAGTGTACCTTCCTGTAAATATACAATCAGTGGCTTTAACTTTGGATCCAAATGCTGGAATTCTCCGATTTCTTGTTCCGTCATATGGAGCCTAGATGCCAAATCAAGCACTTTTTGTACATTTTCCGTTGACACACTACCCGCGTCAGAA